AGAGCTGGGGTGAATTTATTACTTTTAAGTAAGACATATTCAAATTTTTAATATTCTAATATTCTATTGTCCATGGTGCACGGTATTTGGTGGAGCTCCCCGATTAAAATGAGCTTGGAAGCAGGAGTGGCATCCACTTCCGAAATAGCTTGCCTCTGGAAACCCTGTGAACTTGGAGAAACAGTGAAAGTTATATAAGTGTTCAGGTTTTTTTGTTCATAGGGTTGGATCGCCTACACCTTGGCAGCACCTAACAGCAACAATATTAAAGTGGTCTTCTAATTTGCTGTGCATCTGAAAGCTGGACAGTGAATAAGGAAGACAGAAGAACTGATACCTTTGAGGTGTGGTGTTGAAGAAGAGCACTGAACGGCCTAAAGAACGAATAAATATGTCTTAGAGAAGGTGCAGCTCTAGTGCTCTTTGGAGACAAGAATGATGAGGCTTCACCTCACATACTTTGGGCATGCTAGGAGGGGAGGGTCTGTTCCATTTAGAGGGACATGATGTTTAGAAGGGTGGAGGTTCAGCGAAGGAGAGGAAGACCCTTAACCATGTGGATTGACATGGGGACTCTGCAGTTGACTCTAGTGTGTCAGGAAGTGTGAAGATTTCACAGGATAGGATGGGGCTCAGACCTCTTGTTCATAGCTGTGAGTCTCTGTGAGTCATAGTCAACTCGACAGCACCTAACAACAAGAACATTAAATAGGACAAAAATAAACTACTGGCTTTGTAACTGTCAACCCCCCCCCCAAAAAATGTATGAATAATAAAGCCGCCCAAAATGTAACCTTGCAAGGGAGTATATGGATCCAAGAGAGTATCCCTTGAGGTGTAGTGGATGATGGGTATAAAGCTTTGTGAGGACATTAGAAGCCTTACACTTTAAGAGTTGAACTTTATAATATGTGAGTCATATGTCAGTAAACTCCTATTATTAAATGATTGGATGATAAGTGGGGCTCTGGTGGTGTAGGCAGCAGGGTGTTGTGCTAACCTGAAGGCCAAGTTCGTCTGGTGAGGCAGGTGGCACCTTGGGAGAAAGATGGGCACTCTTCTCCTGTGTGATTGATGACCTCTAAAAATCCACTGGAGTGTCAGCCATGCCTCCATTGATTGTACTGGACAGCTGTGAGTTGAGCTTTTTTTGGGGGGGGCATTTAAAATATTTTCTATATACTATATCACAATCAGAAATATAATGGAGATAATAAGTAGATATGAAAGGTTTAAGAGGAAAAATTGTTCTATAAATAGTAATACATATTAAAGACTAAATCACTAAGGCTATGGATCTCTCACAGGGACAGACTATAAAATCTAGACTTTAAAGTCTGAAAAAGAATAATTTAAAAATCTATTGTTGTTGTTGTTAGGTGCCATCTAGTCAACGGTGACTCGTAGCAACTCTGTGAACAACAGATCTGCCTTCCTCCATGACAGGCTTGTTTGTTCCTTGATGATCCAGTCCCCTTCTCTAGCATCACATTTCAAAAACCGTGATTTTCTCCTGCCATCCTTATTCATTGACCAACTTTCACATGCATGCAAAGTCATTAAAAAGACAATGGCCTGAATCAGGTGCACCTTAGTCTTTAAACGGACATCTTTTTCTTTAGCTCTTTGGAAGAGGTCCGTGACAACAGATTTTCCCTTTGTACGGCATCTTTTGATTTCTTGAATGCTACTACCCATGAGTATTAAGTATGGATCCAAATGAGATGAACTCATTGAAAACTTCAGTCTTTTCTCCATCTATCTTGATGCCCGGTGGTGAGGACTTGTGTTTTCTTAATGTTGAGCTTTAATCCATATTGAAGGCTATATATAGTCTTAGATCCTCTGTTACAAGTATTTCAAGTCCTCTTCACTTTGTACAAGCAAAGTACTGTCATCTACAGGTTGTTGATGAGTCTTTCTCTAATGCTGATGCCACATTCTTCTTGCTCTAGTTCAGCTTCTCGAGTGATGTGTTCAGTATATAGGTTGAGTGAATATGGAGAAAAGATAGAACCCTAATGCCTGTTGTCCCCATGTTCTGTTAGGACATTAGCTTCTAGTCTCTGTATACATTTCACGTGAGCACAATTGAATGTTACGGGCTTCTCATTCTTCTCCATGTTAATCCTAATTTGTTATGTTCCCCATAGTCAGATACCTTAAAGAAGACACAAATTCAATAAAACACAAATAAACATCCTTCTGACATTCTCTGCTTTCAGGTAACATCCAATTGACATCAACATTGACATCCCTCATGCCACAAAGCCTCTTCTGAATCCAGCCTGGATTTCTGTTAGTTCCGTATCCATTTACTAACCTCCTAAATACATGTGTAAAAGTTAATATATGATGATGTTTCTGATGTATCGTAAAGCATAGGTTAACCCTGCCAAGCTAAAGCAGAAGAGGGATTTACTGGAAGGATATTGGCTAGTGCAGAGTCAGTGGGAAAACTAAGGAACCAGAAATCAGAAGCTGGCAGGAACTAGTGGCTATAAGGAATCTGGAGCAGCGCCCCTTCTGCTGCAGGAGGCCTGTGGCTGGGAGGCCACCTTGCTGCCAGCTATGCTACAGCCCTTGGAATCCCTCCACCCTTGATGTTCCTCTGTGCTTCTCTCACTCCCTCAAGACTCAAACCCAGAATAGGACATCCAGAAGGCAGAACCTAGATCGCCAGCCTGCGTCCTTCCTGCTGGGGGTGGAGAGAGGGATGTCTACTTGCCCTCAGCTACTGTGCTGGGAAACAGGGTGCCATAGAATATCCCCAAATAGGAAGGTATCCAAATGCTGGGGAGCCAAAAATGACAGATTTCCATTAACATTTGGAATCACTAAAATTAGAGCTATACTTTGTCATAGACTGAAATAAGCCTTACATGGCTTCAGAATTTAAATGTAGAACTTGAATTCATAAGAGTACTTGAAGAAAATGTACATGAATATTTATGTAATCTTGGCTTAGGGAAGTTACTAAGCTGATAGAAAAATCATAAAGCCATTTAAAAATGCTGGTAGAGAACATTAAATGACCCTGAAAGGGGATTATGGTCTGTAACGTTTTTGTAAAAAGAAATTGACTTAAAAGGCATATTACAATTGCATTTCTAAAATGACCACATTTTAAAGACAAAAATACATTTTAAAAAAATTTTTATACACCCAAACACTAGAACACTCACTACCAGAACACTGATAGTGTTCTTTCCATGTCTGGATGATGGAATCGGAGATGATTTCCTGACCTCCCTTCCCTCAGTCAGTATGGAGCAACCTCTTTTGTTTGTTTTCAACTGGGCACCACTTTTTAAATTTGACAAGTGAGTGATGTAGTCAGTTAGTTTCTAAAAGACAGAATGTGTCTATGTGTGTATTTCAGTAGGTAAACTTTTGTTGCTACACATTACAAAAGTGAAAATAACTCTTTTAGTAGATAATGGATAATGAAATAGTGGTATTAGAGTCTTATCATCTGTATAAAAATAATGTTAGATTGTCTAATGGGGATTGGCTCCGTCTGATGTCTCTTCAAAAAGAAAACTGAATATTAAATAAGAGTAGAAGAAACTCCCAGCACCCACCCCCATCATGATGTTTCTCTTATTCAGTTAGGGGTTTTGTGCGTTGTATTGTTTTTAAGAAACCAAATCTGCCATTGTGTTTGGGGTTATAGCATTATGGGCAAACACTGGAGAGATGCCAAGATTGTGGATATGATATTATGGCTTTATTTCATCATTTTTCCTACAAAGAATGAGTTGCCCTGATATTTCTAGTTAAGTAGCCCTTAGACCCCCAGTGTCTTATGCTTCATTCTCAGTGACTCCTTTTTATTTGACATAAGCGACAGAGAAGATGCTTCAGGACTAAGTTCCATCATCTTCATAGAAACCTTAGATGAGGAAATCCTTCATGTCCCAGGGATTTTATTATAGGCACAGGATAGAGACTAACAGAGTGATCTGGAGTTAGGAAAAGAGAAAGCAAACAAAAATGGCTGCCCCTTAATTGTCATTCTTCCTTGGATCTCTTTATTCCCCTCAATAGCTCTAGCCTTTACTGAGAAGGAAATATGAATCAGTAAATATGATCCTGCAAAACGTTTCCCATTGCATTTGTTTGAAGAGCTCATCTTGTGGCATTGGTGGTTTAAGGGGTTGGGCTGCCAGCTCAAAGGCAGGCAGTTCAAATCCACTGTCTTCTTTGGAAAAAGGTGGACAATCTTCTGTGATATTTACAGTCTGAATATTCGTGGGAGGGCCAGCTATGAGCTGACTTCAACTCAGCATAATAGCACTAGGATCTTATTTTTTTAAAAACACCTCTTTTCCTAAGACTTTCTTCAGAGGACTCATTGATCAACTTTGTTGTGTTTCTGTGCCATAAACAACATGCCTCTAACCACTTTATGTTCTAATCTTCATCCTTCATGTCACCATGGGAACCCCATCGCTCTATTCCTCGACAGCCATCTTCATTTAGTACTAGATCACCCAAGTCTTTTACAAGGTGGACATGAAACAGTCCAGGCAGAGAGAGAGAGAGTGTTGAACTACACACTTCATGAGTGCTTCTGTCATGTTGAAATTCCTCTGACGTTTTCCTGTAAATGTATGTTATAACTTTGTGCAGCAGCCACCAGACAGGAAAATGCTTTTTTTTCTTTTTTTTTTTTCTGATAGACTTAAGAATTACTCTTACTCTGATTTTCTTGGTCTTAAAGTATGCGGTTCCACTCATTGGCCCTGGATCCCTGGTGCTCCAGTGACCTCAGTGTTGGTCCCACAGCATCTAGGAGTGGAGATGGGGCAGGTGCTTGTCCTGAGGCACTGTCCCCTCCAGCTCCAGTGGAGAAAGAGCTGGATGACTCTGGTGACACGAGAGCGCACAGCCAGGGGTGACCAGAGCCCCCATAGTGTGTTCCCCTCCTGCCCAGTAATCGTTAGACATTCCCTCATACAGTGCCACTCACCCCTCCTTTCCTTATCTCTTTCCAGGAGCAGCTTATTGCCAGTTCATGGACATGCTATTTCCAGGCTGTATTAGTTTGAAGAAAGTAAAATTTCAAGCCAAGTTGGAACATGAATATATCCACAATTTTAAACTTCTGCAAGCTTCGTTTAAGCGAATGAATGTCGATAAGGTAGGAAACTAACTTGTACCTCCTTAGAATGCATGGTCTTTCCTTCAGCCATTTTTTAACTTAAATGCCAAAATCCACAAACTCATCAATTGGCTAAGCCTTTCTGTCTCAATAGTTGGTTGGAGCGTGTAGCATCAACTCCAAAAGGAATAATAAATGTTACAGTGTTTTTATAGTTCTTTTTTACTATGGCACATTACAAATGTTGAAAATATCATTCGAGTTCTGTCTTTGTATTTATGAGCTCTGGTGGTGTAGTCTGTAGGGTGTTGTGCTATCAACCCAAAGGTGATGCTTTGCTCAGTTCAAATCCACCAGCGGCTCTGCAGGAGTGAGGTGGGCGAGCTCTTCCTGTGCCTCCAAAAACCACCTGGAGGGTCAGCTGGGAGTCAGAACTGACTCTACAGCAATGAGTCATTTGTTCAGTGTTGCACATGGGAAATTTTAGGGTGTAGTTCTTTGTGTGTTGTGTTTCTTTGGAAAAATCATGTTACAGTAGAAGTAGTGTAGGTTTGACTCCCCACTCCTTGGCATGAGCGAGTCATCTAATTCTTTGAGTTTACTCTTCTGTAAAATGGGACTTCACAGCCCCTTCCCCATGGTCATGAACTTCAGTAGTCCCTTTGGAGTGTCCAACAGGGTGTCTACACCCAGATTCCCAGTGAGTGCTGTGCATTCCCCTTTTTGCTTGTAAGTAACTATCATTTTGTCCTGGATTGATACAAATTAGTTATATCAGAGCCCTTTTCTCTCCTCCACTAAAGGACTGTATTTCTGATGGCCCACTCGGTCTCTGTACATTTGCATCTATTCCAGTATAAATATATAATCCATATTCTTTATTTAAGATTTTACTCTTAGAGGAAATCAGCTTGAAATAAGCCACATTTGAATAAACATGGAAAGAGAAGAGGTAATAAATGGAAAACTTTTTTTTCCTGTAAAAAAGTAATAATCAGTGGGCTATGAAAAGAAAAGGTTGAAAATAAAGAAAATTTCCTAAATCACAGTATTCTTAGAAAAGTATTTGTCAAGGAAATCTTAGCTTCTTATTTTCATTTGAAATTTTTATGTCAAGTCATGCATTGCCTTTAACATCTTAAGCTTTGGAATCCTTTTATAATATTTTACCTTTATATTCTTTGCTGTAGCTAATTTCCAGTTTGTTCCTTGTGTGCACACAGGTAGAGTCCGACTTCCGTCTTATGGCTTGTTTGAGCTGTGATGATAGGTGTTACATACAGTATTGCAGCACGTAATTTGTCATTAGTCACAGATGTTCGCTCCCTGATGATCCTTGTTAGGACTTACTGATCAAAACCCTGCCGTGTGGCAGTGACGTTGTCTACAGTGAAGTCAGTCTGTGCCAGTTGATCAGTAAATTGAGTCACAGTGTGGGACTGCGTTCAAGTCCAATGGCATGACAGTTGAACTGTGAACAAGCCTGACACCATTAGGACTCTAACTTCATTGTCAGAACTCTGAGGTAGACTTCACTGTTGTATTCATCTGTCTATTCCACAATCAACACTCTTGGCCCCAGCAGTCAGGAAATCAAAAGATTAATTTTGTTGGAAAAATCTACTGTCAGGGTCCTCTGGAGAGAGCTAAAGAGCATCAGTGTCAGTCTAGAGACTAAGGTGCCCTGATCCAGGCCATGGTCTTTGCATTTATTTGCTGTGCATCAGA